TTTTATCCCCGGCAACGGCGCCAAAAACTTGTTGGGTGGTTTGCTGATGGTGGAAAAATATAAGTTCTGAGAGAGGACGGTCCTCTGTTCTTGCAGAACACAGTCCCTTAGTTCCAACCCAAGTGCGCAATTGCACGCATCAAGTAATAAAGGGAGTATTAATGCCCAAATTATCGTTCTGACGAGGATAGAGTGCTAATTATTGTTTTATCACTGTTTATAAAGAGTGAAAATGAGAAGAAAAGTTAGTAAAATGAACTGTTTTATCCTTTGGAGCTAGTTGCTTGAATGAGGGGACGGGATTGTGGCAGCAGAGTGTGAAGCTTGCGTGAATTGCTGAATGAAACAGGATTTGGTGATGATTAGCCGTTGTTTGCGGACCTTCCCATGTTTTGCTTCTGTTTTCAGCCAATGAGAACTCTTGATTCTCTACTCTTCACGTTTCCAGCTACTCAGTTGGTGCACTGCCTTGCTTTATAGAAGTCTTTAACTCTACGTTACCTGCAAAGTGTACAGAAGCATTAAATGAATGGAGCAGGTGCATTAAATGCGTCTCAGTCCGTTCCCCTTTTAATATATTTTAAAGGAATATGTTACCATCCGTTCCCCCACTGTGTTTTTGTCACAAATGTGTAAAACAAGTGATTTTCATGCTGAAGTTGCTCATCAGATGAGGGAACGTATGGTATTTTGCCATCAAAATGGGCTTAGATGGGAACGAATTTACGTCCCATCACCGAGCTCACAAAGGAGATCTTCTCCAAACTTATCTACAATCTGACTTAGATCAATAATGTCGTATTCGTTGGCATAATCGATCAGGATGGAAGCCGCCAACCTTTTCGATCTGGAAAGAGCTACTCATGGGGTAGCATAATCTTTGGGACGCCTTCGGTAATGTTTTTACGTCCAATACAGTTCAAATCGACATGATAAATCCCCGGCGTCCAGCCATTCCTCGCCGAACCATGGAAGAGAGTCAGAACGAGATGCCACCTTAAAATAGGCATCCTTAAATCCTTTAAAGGATTGAGAGTAGGGAATAAAAATACCCCTACCCGAAGTACCTCGGAGGGTTACCCACCTTTTCCTTTCTTTAGCCTCGGCACCAGTCCGGGCAGTATATACATCAAACAGAAAGAAGAAAAGAGAAACTGTGCAAGACAGGCATAGGTATGCACACACTTGTTCGAAACCTCGGATGAAAGCCCATGAATTGGGATGCAGTTGCGAGGGAGCAATCCTAAGTCGGCGGATCACGGCAACTTGAAACTCGGTAAAGGGAAACCGAATTCCCAACTTGGTAATCAGGTCCCGATAAAAATAAAAGAAATAAGGCTCATCCAATTTGGGACCCGCACATACCGGGTTATCACCTGCTGGGAGGATATCAACCCCGCTGGGATCTCCAACTGAAAGTTGGGCTACCTCGACAGGAAACATTATAGATCGTATGTTAACAATCTCAAGAAGAACCCAATTCTGGACGTCGGACTCTTCCATAACTACGGCCCTGGAACACGAAGGATGAGGGTCAGTATAAAAATCAACCAAATCTGAACTTGGACTACCAAGATCGGATGGCAAGGAACCTGGACTCCAAGAAAAAGGAATGGAGCTATCAAAACTACTAACAAGGTCAACAAATGGCATCTGATTAGAAGTCGAATCACTGAAAGCGGTAAAAGGAACATTAGATTCTGGAAAACCCAAGTCAGATGATGAACTAGAAGAACTATCACTAAGCCCGAGAGGAGGGATCCGATCTAGAATAGATCTCGGACCAGGAGCAACCTGAGATGGGGGCAAAATGTAAGATAGAGGAGCTGGGTCACAAAGGGAGCTCGACCCAAGAGGAACTACAGGACTCGAAGCCGAAGGGGGTCCACCCCTACTGAAATTAAGTTGAGATTGATTTTCCCCTCGTCCTCTCCGACCCCTACCTCTCCTGCCTCGTCCACCTCGGGAATTCAGGCGACCTCCTCGATGGCCCCAAAGAAGCTGTTGAAGCTTCTCCTCCTCGCCGCACCAGAAGAACCGGGAATACTCATCATCCCCTCCAGAAAGGAGAACTAAAGAAATACCCTTCCCTAGCAAGAAATAAACAAATGCTTGAAACAAAAAGTTTGAAGGAGGAAGAAGTACCTGGTTGAAAAGAAGTGGAGAAGAGGGCAAACAAACTCAGAACTCGTCAACAACAATGGGAGACTCGAAACCCGAAGAAACACGCCTCAAGGTGAAGGGGAAATAGACAGGAAAGAGAAATGCAAAGTGAAGTGAAACTTGCAAATCAGCGCGAGAAGAAGAATTTAAAGATTTTTGCCCTACTTAGCTTAGAGGTTATGCTAGGCGCGAAGATGAAAGGTTTGCAAACGGTTAAGCAGCCAGGGATAAAAGAGTAATTTCTCCTCACACGCATTAAATGCGTGCAATCATCACACATAAACGTAGAACGACTCACTGCCCACGATACACGAAACCCCAATAGCCAGAAGACATGTGGTGCATGTAACCGTTAAGGTTGAGTGAAAGCCACGATGAAATGACAAGAGTCAGGTGTAATCCTATCCACAACAGGATGACCGAGGTATACACCTCGGCCTAATACGACCAAAGAAGTTCTAATAACGAATCAGGAAATTCAAATTTCCCACGAAGAGCACACAACCTCTCCGACCTGTCAGACATCGAGAGCATCGCATTCACCAAAATAAGCATGAGACACCTCGGCGAAAGACCTCAGCACAAGCGAGGTCGGGAGAGCATGCAAACACCCCGGCATTCCGAGCTTCGAAATACCAGGCTTGGGGGCAACTGTTATAGATATATATCATATCCTAACTACCCACTTAACAATCCACTAAAGGATAGATGCTCAATTATCCTAACAATATCAAACAACAAAGATACTTAGGATAGAATGCTTATCTCAACAGCAAGGAAGTTGAATCCTACTGCAACTGGGAGATCTTCACAAATCCTAGAAGTAACCCTTATAAATAAGAGGTTAAAGACCTCAGGTACACACTTTTTTGACCTATTTATTATTACTGTCAACAAAGTGCACATATCCACGTCTTGGCTATAAGCCTATTGCTTGTGCGCAGTGATTGGGATATTGGCCCTAGGCCAAATACATACCTACTTCTACGGTATTTCTGAGCGCATACTCTACGGTATAGCAATCGGTCTTTCCAGAATCAAACAACAACAACAAAAATCTAAGCCATAATTTATCATTAAGGATTAAGGACGAAACCAGCGGTTATCTAGTACTTACTCCTCAAGCATGGCATTGTGGGATGTTAGATTCGATGGAAAGTTCATTGGTAGATATAAAATCTCCTAAAGTCCAAATGCTCCGGACAGTAAGAAAACAATGAATCTCCATGTGCTGGAGCATGTGTACGCAATTATTATCTTGTGCTCTCCAATGGTCCAAGCCTAGATGCATTCAAAAAAGAAACAAAAAAGGAATAGAAAGCTAACTTCTTCACTGTGCCTTGTTTGGAAAAGTGTTGTTTAGTCAAGGACAAGCAAAACCCATCATGTCTCAACCTGCTCTCTCGTCTTTCTTATCCTATTTATCTTCCAATTATTGCAGAATTCCTCGTCACTTTGACCATCATGATTATGTCTCCGTAACTAGTTTACTCATCAACTGTTTAAGAGTATACCTACAACGGACCTTATAAATTGATATTAACTGATATATTTTTTAGGTTGGAAGCAGACATTCTCAATTGTTTACAAGTAATTAATTTTTCTATACTTATTAATTATTACTATTTTGTTTCACCAAACAATTTTCTCCTTTTGCTTATTAAAAATGAATTAATATTTTTCACGTTATAAATCTTTTAAATACATGTAAGGGCTTGTTTAGTGTGAAGTATAAGATTTCATAATATAAGCTTATATTATACGTTATGACATTTTTAGTTGTTTAGTGTAACTATCGTATAGTATAAGCTTATACAATAAGATCCCTTTATACATCAAAATGATGTATAACTTAATCAGGCTAGAAAGATAGGATTAATTCTGATAAGAGATTGATGTATTAACCAATATAATTATCAAGAATTAATATATTATTTTAATATTAATATATTAAAATAAAAAATTTCAATACATAAATTTTTAAAATATTGGAGATTTTTATTTTTATAAAAATTAATATATTTTTTGGACACACTGATCAACGTGTTTCTATAAAAATTAATATCATCTCCATACCAAAAAAAAATTAATACCATATGATATATTTGAAAAAATTATATAAATTTATTATTAAAATGTATTTTTATCAAAAATATTTATTTTTATCCTATCTAGAATTATACCGTGTATTACCAAACATTAGACAATATTATCTTATATAATATATTATTTTATATAATATCATGTCAAACGCTAAATAATATTAAAATTTAATCATATCTTATACAATCAAGTCTTATATTATCTGGTCTTATCTTATCAAGCCTTATACTTATAATATCAAGTCTTATCCTATATCATGCACCAAACATGCTCTAAAAGTACGAGAGATTGATATTTTTTATCTTTTTTTTTTTTAAATTACTCTATATGGATCCGATACTTTTATAAGTATATATGAGATAAAATTATACGAGAAACATTAATTTCTCTAAAAAATTAAAGAAAAAAACAGGACATCGACAGAGCAGTGAGCACTGGACTTGGTAGCGCGCTGCAAAGATGACAGGTCAATGCTTTAAAGCCTGGTTGTACACCCACTAAATATTTATGGGATGCTGTCTTCATCACATGAACAGTCAATGTCTTTATTTAATTAGTCAGTAACATAAAGTTCAGGACATACAGAAAATCATAGTTTCAGCTTCTTCCCTTCAATTGATAAATTTAAATGAGTAGTTGAGCCAAAACCATTAGACAAATTAGCTAAGCAGAGAGACATTTTAAAAGTATTTGGGAATTGGGATATGCACAAGGTTAACATCAAACTAGGTTCCACCTTTCACTATGGTTGGGTCATGCGTATGCATAGCAGAAGAGCAGACACCAAACCAACGTAAAAACATTACAATATTCTAATTCCCATATCTCTCACTGAAATTGATCTGAACATTAACCAATTCAGTTATGTTATTGTCACAACACATTTTTCACACACACCCATCTACAACTAACTATGAATAAATTATTAATTATCAACATATTTGTTGATTGATAACTAGTAATTTATTCAAAATTAACGGCATAGGTGAGGTATGAGATTTGTAATTAAACATTTTCCATAATAATTAAAAATCAGCATGCACCTTGTAAATTACTACGAAACAAGGAAGGATAGCCCTTGGATTGAAAACAATCAACTCTTCGAGATTCGAGTAGATTCCTGCGTAACCGGCTACAGAATCATAGGAACCAGCCGACACAGTTTCCTCCTCCGACGGCGACGGAGACGGCGACGCATCCTCCGCCACGCGCTTCACTCTCCCCGCAATCACACGACACACCAGCATCGCCCTTCTGCTGCTACCCTCGCCACCGCACTGCACCGAGTCGTGAGCCCTACCGCTGCTGGCGGTGGTCCTCACCCCCTTGCCATGCTCCCCGCCGCCGCCGGACTTGCCTTGAAAACCGTGCCTGATGACGGTGCAAACACCGCAGCCGGGTACGGCGGCACACAAGGTGGAAGAGCCACGTGCGCCCAGTGCGCATGTTAAGGTGGTGCAGTAGAACCGCAGGAGCTCGTTGCCATCGGCTGCGCACCTGGGGTTTTTCTTGCTGCTGTTGAGTGCACGGTTCTTTACCGTGTCCCTGCACTCCTCGAACCGTTGGATGGTGCGTTGGGTGTTGTGCACTTTCAGTATCCGTTCGATCTTGCATATGGAGTTGTCCTTCTTCAACCAACTCGATTTGAAGATTATCTCCACTATGTTCCGACCCGAATCCTCCTGACCCAGCTCCGAAACTGTTTCCGAATGATACAAATTTAGTTGAATAACTAATATAATATTTTGAGCAAATTTTATATATTATCCTTCTCTTGTTTAAGCATTCTACATCAAATATATAACTAAAATAAAAGACAAATAATTGATTATATATGAGATTAATATTTTTCAAACTACTTGAGATAAATTTATCTCTCGTTATATATTATGGTAGTATATAATTATAACGTTAAAATTATTTTTTAGTTTCTCATCAGTTACTTTTCAGAACTTATTTACTGATATATAGAGAAAAAACTTTCACATTATGATTATGTATTATTTGTAATATACAGTTAAAGGTATAGTTTGAGATGAACTTACCTCAAGTGACTAAAAATATATTTTTCCTTAATATTATTTAGTCTCTTAAATATGTTATATTTTCAAAGAAATTATTTTTCTCATTTTATATAAGAGAAAAATAATCTCCTAAATATATATGAAAGAATAAAGAAGAATGAAAAAAAATTAAAATATTTAATTTGTATTTAATGCCTAAGATAATAAGAGATTGATAATTTGTACGGTAATTTAGAATTGAAATTTGTGAGTTTGTTAATTTTGGGTGGAGTGGTGTCCACCATTGAAGCTGACACGTTGTTTGAGGCAGATCATTTATCTCCCTTGCAGCAGACAGCTGTGACCTTGTACGTGTACTTCTACAAAACAAGTAACTGCGGATACGGTTGTCCCACAACAACTATTGGACTATAGTGTTGGTGGGTGCATCTGGTGAATCGTGCATTGGTGATGCAATATTATTTTTTATATGCTTAGATGTTATTATTTTTTTATTAAAAATAATATAAATAAATGTTGATAGCGCAATATTATTGCCGTGCAAAAGGGTGAGAAAGGAAAAATGAAGAGCATGATTATCGGAATACATGAACAACTAGCATAATGGCATGACATGCATGGATTGTGGTGTCCATTTTGCCCCGTATGTTTCAGATTTCGAAGCTTACTTTTAAGTTTTAGCCCCACAAACATGATCGAGCACAAGGGAATTCAATCAATATTGACACAGACAGAACTGCTACCATGCTTTAAAAAAAACCACCAGATCTATATCCTACTACAGTTCATTGGAATATAAGTTTGCATTTGTTCAATAAAGTCAAATACTCTGCATGATAACAGAGAATTGCATAAAGTCCTTTAATTGTTGTCTCTGTACAAAATTAAGAGGATCTATATGAAGGAATAAATCAATTCACATATATAGTCAATGCATTCTCGAAAGGAATTAATTAATTAATAATGATGCATGCATTCATTATCTGAAAGGAAAAGAAGAAGAATGTAAAGAGCAAAAGAGTACCAGCATGACGAACAGCTTGATGAAGCTCCAAGCTTTCCATCTTAGGGAAGACCTCTCCACACTGAGAGCAAGCACAAACAGTGCTCCTCGGAATTGGTAGCCTAATTTTGCAATCACATATATTATATACTCATTAATTTCTCTCTCTCTCTCTATATATATATATGTGCATGCTATTATAAAAATTTGAGAAAATAAGCTAATTAATGTTCCATGTAAATATAACTATATATTATAATTAATTACCTGCTAGGGTCTATGATCATGTGACATTCATAACAGCCAGATAATTTCCTGAATTGCATTCCTCTGGAAGATGATGACGTGTAGGTTGCTCCACCGTTGGATTTACCGGTGACAGGTTTTCTTTTGAGTAGGCTAGTTTCTTGACCGAGGGTGCTACTCTCAGGGGAAGAGTTATCACCCCTGTGAACAACTCGAGAGTTGCCATGAACAACATCTCTGAAGCTACATATGGAACTGCAAGAAGATCCTAGCTTGGAGTATCCAGCTACCTTGGATGGGTCATGCACTCTGGACCCTTCGATCTGTTTGCAGGTTATGAGGCTTTTGATTTGATCCCATGAAGAGGGTGGTTTCTGCTTCTGTTTTTGCTCCTGCTTCTGTTGCTTTCGCTTGCGTTTGGGGAGTTGTTTTTTGGTGTTGGAGTTTTCAGGCAAGGAAGTTAGGAGAGCCATTAGAAACAGTCCAAGCAAATAGAGTGGAAGTGTAAGGGTGAGGGAGGTTCAATTCTATTTTGAACAATTTTGTGAAAGAGTTTGTGTAATTGACATTAGACTAGAGGATCCCAGATGTGTCATAAATGAGGATGCTTGGGCGCCCTGTGTGGTGGGACAGGGATTCGTTCTTTATTGATTAATGCTACTTGTGTCACAACTTATTGTGTTATTATTATTACTATTATTATTATTGTTACATAAATATGAGTTTCTTGCTTTGGACCTACAAACGCGTGAAATTATTATAAGAGATATTAATGGTGTTATCTCTGTTCCAAAATTGAAAATGTAATAAATATTACACTAAAATTTGGATGAGTTTACTTTTCCTTCTTTATTACTACTCCGATTCATCTCTTCTCTCTCTGTTTTGGGTTAAAAATTTTAAGTAACATTATGTGGGGGTTCAACTGAAAGACCACTTTAATCTTATTGTTCTGTTCTTTTTGTTAGGAAGGTGTGGCCTACAGCTTCGATGGTTTGGAAAGAACCAGATAGTTACCCTACAAAACGGGCCGGGGAAGAAAAGCTGGGACAGTTATCATAATTAAGATATAATAAACTAAGGGAAAAAAATATATAATGTTACTTTAGATAATTTTGTCTAATAATGTTCTCCGAAATAATGTTATTTAGGGTTGAAAAATTAAAAAATTAGAATGATAAAAACTATTATAACCCTAAAATAAATTAAAATTATAAATACACCATGATTTCCGCCTAAAACGATGTCATTTCGATAAACATTAGATAAAATTATCTAAAGTAACTTTACAAAAAAATAACTCATAAACTAATATAAATATATATTGGAATTGAATCAATTTATATAGGTATAAAAATAAAAAAATGTTACATCTAACTGTTCACATATCTTAGAAATTAGAATCATTAAATGGAAATTAGATTGAGAGTATAACTTATGTTAAATAATCATGTCCCATGTATAACTATTATTACTTCTTAGCAATGGCGGACGCAAGTTAGTGCAAGTGACTGCACTTGCAGACACAAAGTTGGGAAAAAAAAAATTCACATGAGATGGGTGCTTCAAGTTAAGTAAAAAAAAAAAAAATTAAAGGAAAAAGATAAAAATATGTTCAACCCCTATAATTAAAAGCTTAAAGCTTAAACTCAAGCCTATTGCTTTGTCTCTTTTTTTTATATATAAATCTTATTAGCTCCAAATCGTAATAAACATCAACATTTTTGAAATTCAATCTTCATCAAGTGGAGGAGAATCTTACGGGACTTTGCACTTTTTTGAGAAACAAAAGTGGCCAACTTTGGATCAAATAAAAATTAACAAAAGTGAGTTTTTGATCGATTAACTCTTATAATTACACTATATTTTACAAATGTCTTTTTGTAGTGTTTATTTTTTTTTAAAATTATCATTATCTATTATTTCCTTAAAACTTTGGTTGATTCACCATAGTTTTACTTTTGAAGTGGAAGCAAAAATTGAATCATGATCATGATCTTTAAAATAAAAAATAAAAAAATTGTGCAGACATAAAAAAAATATACTGAGTCCGCCACTGCTTCTTAGTATACACCAGGAGCCAAGGCTGGAAACTCACGTTAACCACATAGTTACATAAATTTTACATCGAATAATGCTTATTGTCTAGAGAAACAATTTGTCGATTTAACCTTGTTTTTTTTCAATATATTTTTGTTAAATATGCATTGAAACAGACAATCCTATTCTTTCCAACGTGAATTGTTTACATAAGCCTTTGACAAATGTGTAACCTCATGAATGAAAGCGCACAAATAGGCACTTGACCAGGATGTGTAGTTTCTAAGAAGCGTTGCCTCATACTGGAGATGAAAAATGACTTGTTGATTGCTTCTATATTTGACCATTTCTGATTTGATGTAATTGATTAACACACGACAAGCAATAAAGACTAGATGTCCAATAAATTTTTTTTTTGTTTTTGTTTTTTTATTTTGGGGAAATTTCAACAACGTCAGAATAAACCAATATGAATACTGTCAAATAGATACAGAGGTGAGTGTTTACCAGCAACTTACGAGATTTGCTTTCAGTAGCTTTGGAATTTCGATTATTAAATTTCTAAAGGTGAAAGGATCACATCTGACGGGGCAAAGATTCGAAAAGCAAGTAAAAGCTAAAAGCATATGAGCCAAGAAGACATCATGTAAAACACGGAGAAAGAATTAGAAGCCAGATGCCAATTTGCGCCTTCCGGATCCGATGTCTTCGCATATTCGTTTTTCTTTTTGCCATGTTTCCAAATATGTATTCCCAGTTCATAAGCACAAATATACGCTTCATGTCACACATTATGTTCAAAACATATGCTTTCCTTGCAGCATGTTAAAACATTTTTTCCACATATATAGACACACACTATAATAGATCAATGATATGTGTATATGAATAACATATATTATTCGGTTTGAAGTGTAGACCGGAAATGTGCAACCCAATGAAAGGATTGAGTATTGTTGTCTAGGTCGACTTAGAGGTTGGGGTGCAAATGAACTAGATCATGTTAGACTTTAACTTAAATATATTATATATATATATATATATATATATATATATATATATATATATGAGAGGTTATAATTACTATATTTTTTTCTTACTGTTAAATTTTAACTGTTGATTTTCGTCAATCTAACGGTTACAATATATTGGATCGCACTTATTAATTAATTATTAATTTTTAAAAAATTATAACTGTTAGATTGATGGAAATCAACGGTTAAGATTTGATAGTAAGAGGTAGTAAGAAAAAAGATAGTAAATATATATATATATATATATATATATATATATATATATATATATATTGATATGAGAAAAGTTATACTTACAACCTTTTTTTTTACAACCTCTTGCCATCATATATCATAACTGTTGATAATCCCCAATCAACGGTTGTCATTTATTATGAATTAATAATTAATTAATGAGTTTAATTTGCAAAAATCATAATCGTTGATTGGCGAAAATTAACGGTTATGATATATGATTGTAAGAGGTTGTAAAAAAAAGATTGTAACTATAACCTCTCCCTATTGATATTGTTTATTATGATGTTTGAGGCCCCGTTCCTATTGAGTCAATTGATGGTTGTAGATTGTTTGTTATGTTTATTGATCACAAGTCGAGATGTATGTGATTCTATTTGATGCATAATAAATTCGAGGTCTGTCAAATGAAAGTACTTCGCAATAATAATGATACTGAGTATGTTAACAATTTCCATCCTATTTTATTTTTTAAAAGTATGGGTATTGTCTATTAGCTTTCTTGTGTAGGCACCCCAGCGAAGGAAGGAAAAATAGCCATCTCCTCGTCCTTACTACCAACTTACAGTTTGAAACATAAGCTAGAAATTGCAACGTACAAAGCAAAACGGTAAGTATAAAATTTAAGCTAGAAATAGCATGTAGGTTGTCTTATTGCATATGTCAGATTCCATGAATTTCTATTAGAACCAACTTACAAAGCAGAAAAGGATGAGAAATCAATTTTAATAATTAGTAAAAAGAGACAAGTCCTTATGGAATCAGTTTGAGATTAGTTATAAAGTCAGACATAGATTTGGCCAACCATTCAATCAGCAACATTACCATAAGGTATGAACTAGAACATCATTTATTTAATTAAATTTTTTTAATTTAACTACTACAGCGAGAAGACATCATCCACCCTAGTATGGGTCGGTCACCTATCCAAATATCCATCATTATTTAATTGTCAAATACCTAATCATTCAAAGTATAGGAAAGTTATTTTATTTTCGGTTTCGAATCACTTCTTATCATGATTGATATTGATGAAAGTTTTATTCATTGGGGGTCATCAACTATGTCTTATGTATCAGGTATGAGAGGGCAAACGAATACTGGCACCTGATTTTCCATTTTCACGTGTCCTGCTCCTGCATCATCTATGTGGAATTTCTCTAGTTGTTCTATGCGAGATATTCCCATATTTTTTTATTTTATAAATTTTTTGTTTACAAACTATATTAAATATGACCTATGACCGGTCATACTTCAACCAAGAGTGTATAACCAGTCATACTTAGTGTAATTTGTAAAAAAAAAAATTATAAATGGATCATTTCTCATTTTTTATCTGCAATATCAGTCTTGTATCTTTAATGTGTGGGATGAGCTCAGTACGATCACCGCTTTAAGTTGATATTACTTTTAAAATATACTTTAATGAGATAATTTTTTATTTAAAATACATTAAAATGGTAAAAAAAATCTAATAAAAGTTTATCATAATTTCTTGATTAAATCTAGGGAGAGATTATACTTATTACATTTTTTTCTTACTATCTCTTACTGTTAAATCGTAACTGTTGATTTCTATTAATTTAAAGACTATAAATTATTAAGAATTAATAAATAAATACACCCCAATAAATTATAACCGTTAGATTAGTGGAAATCAATGATTAAAATTTGATAGTAAGAAGTAGTAAGAGAAAAAGATAATAAGTATAACTTTTCCCTCAAACCTAAGGAGTAAAATAAGAAGTTATTTTTTTATCTTTGTCTCCAAATTATATGATTAATTATAATTTGAGTGAACTTAGTAACTCAATAAGCATTTACTCTTATATATATATATATATATATATATATATATATATATATATATATATAAAAGTATTTACTTCTTCTTTTTTGAGTAAATACCTTTTTAGTCTCTGGCAATATCCACGGAGCCCTTTTCAGTCCCTAGCAATAAAAAAAGGACAAATTGGTCCCTGAAATAACAAAAAAGAGGCTACGTTCATCTTTCCGTTAACTCCCACCTAACGGCCCAACTAACGGTGCACAGTTGGCACGTTAGTTTGCTGACGCGGCTTGGATGTGGGACACCGTGGAAGACGAGACGACGACGTTTTGGTCCCTGTCAAAACCACGAGGGTCATTTTGGTCCCTGTCAAAATGCACGAGGACGTTTTTAGTCCCTG